ATTTATGTTCATTGATTTCTATCTTTTTGTTAAACTTCTAATTTTGTTCATGTATTCTTCTCCAGGTTTCCTTATATTGTCATTCTGTATTATAGCTCATTGAGTTTCCTTAAAATAGGTATTTTGAATTCTTTTTTGGGTAATCTGCTGATCTACATATCTCTGAGATCATTACTGGCAGATTATTGTGATCCTTTCATGATGACATTTTTCTTTGATTTTTCATATTCCCTGAGATTTTGCATTGCAGTCTTTGCATTTGCACCTCCTCCGGTCTTTACTTACTGCCTTCAGGAGAGAAATACCTTTATTTGCCCCACTTGGGTTTCTGAGGCTTTCTCAGACCTTCTATGGATATGCATGCTCCATGCTGCTTGCTCTCTCCTGTGGCAGAATTCTTAAGCTTGTATGCATGCTATTGATACTGCAAATGACCAGGCTGAGTGCTGATAGCCTCCCTTTCATTTTCTCAAGGGCCGTGCTAAAGTTCAAGTTTGTGGTCTCTCCCTGGCCCACAGATGCAGGCCAACTTTTGACATGTACTCACTAACCATCTGCCACAGCTCACTTGCAACTGCTGTCAAGAGAACTCACAGGGAGCCAGCCACTGAATGGGGGTGTGTGTGGATGAGGCATGTGGAATGCTGGGGGTGCCCATGGACTAGTTGGGGGAAATCCAAAGATAAGGCATCCCCTACAGCTGGTGGGTGGGCTTCCTGATAGAGTCTGTGATGCAATTTGTAGGATTCATTCCCTTTAATGTCCTCTGAGAATCCTATCTGACAGTCTTCCAGATTCTCTCCCCTATCCTTCCACTGCCAGTCATGCAGCTCATGATTCAGCAGTCTGGATGGGGTGAGAGAGAAGTTGGCTTGGGTGGCAGCACCCTGCACAGATGGGGAAATGGGTGCTCATTCGCACACACTCATCTTCCCCCATGGAAGAAATCATGAGTCAAGACGATCTCTCTTGGCCTTGAGTGATGGGTGATGCAAGTTAAGACAAATTGTTATTCTTACCCTCTCCAATGCATGCAGACTCACTTTTTTTGCTCCTGATGTGCTAGTACTGCTTTGCTGGAAACTGGTACTTCCACAAAGGCTCTCATCTATGGGTGATTGTCTAAGACAGTGTTTTACAGGGGCTTCTGGACTGCAGGTGAGAGTGGCTGGAGCTGGTTCATGGGCCACTGTAGGGTTCATAGCTGGGACTTAAGTCTGTATGCCTATCACCTGACACATGGGTGTGTAATACTCTTCTGGGTCCTTTGGCTTATGGCATTGGATCCCAGAGCACCTACAAAGGAACGCTGTCTGTAGATGGATGCCAAATTGTTTTTGTCGAGAGGGGGAAACCACAAGGTACGTCTCATTCAACATTTTTGCTAATGTCACTCCTCTCACTTTCTCAAGATCTCAGTAAAGGTAAATACATAAGCAATTATAAAATCTAGTATTATTGTAACAGTGGTTTATAAGTACACTTTTTGTTTTGTACATGATTTAAGTGACTAATACATTTAAAGAAAAAAGCTTTATTAGTGTAAAAGCTAGTATTACTATAATTTTGCTTCGTAACACCAAATCTTATTTTCTACATAATTTAAGAGACTGATGCATTTTAAAAAATTAGTAGTTTATGTTTTGGGGTACACAGTGTGTAAAGATATAACTTTGTGACATAAATAACTTGAAAGGGGTGGGATGGAGGTATAAAAGAGCAGAGTTTTTGTATTTTATTAAAATTAAGCTGCTAAATTCAAATTAGAGTGTTATAACTTTAGGATGGTAAATATAATCACCATGGTAACCACAAAGAAAATAGCTATAGAATATACAGAAAAGAAAACGAGAAAGGAATTTGAACATGTCACTTAAAAAAAAAACAACACAAAAGAAGACAGTAATGCAGGAAATGAGGGGCAAAATATAAAGCATATATTAAAAAAATTTGTTTTATTTTTGCATTATTACACAATGACAGAAGTGTGTCTCTTCTTGTCAGTAATTACTTCAAGTGTAAAAATACAGGATCCAACTATATACTGTCTAGAAGAGACTCACTTTAGATCCAAAGACACAAATATGTTGAAAGTGAAAAGACGGAAAAAGATATTTCAGGCAAATCTTTTATTAATGTATTATATCTTATTTTGACCCAATCTTTTTTAATCTAAAGTCCATTTTATCTATCAATGTCATACATCAAATCAACAGAATGAAGAAAAAAGCCCTATATGATCATCTTACTTGATATAAAAAAAAAAAAAAACTCGTTTGACAAAATTCAGCAGACTTTCATGGGGGAAAAAAACACTCAAAAAACTAGAACTAGAAGAAAGCTACTGCAACATGATAAAAGCCATAGATGAAAAACCTACAGTGAATATAAGACTGAAAAGACATTTTCTCTAAGATCAGGAACAAGGCAAGGATTTCTGCTTTACCCCTTCTTTTCAACATAATACTACAAGTTCTAGCCAGAGCAGTTAGGCAAGAAAAAGAAAGGCATTCAAATCAGAAAGGAAGAAGCAAAATCACCTTCTGCAGGTTACATGGTTATACATGTAGAATACCTTAAAGAGTCCACAAGAGAAAAACTGTTAGAATAAATGAATTCAGCGAAGTAGTAGGATACAAATTCGATATACAAAAATCAGTTGCATTTCTATGTACTAACAGTGAACAATCTGAAAAATAAATTACACATTAATTCCATTTACAGTTGCATCAAAAGGAATAAAATTCTTAGGAATTAACTTAAGTATTGAAAGACTTGTGCAATGAAAAAATGAAAGACTTGTACAATAAAAACTACAAAACATTGCTGAAAGAAATTAAGACACAAATAAATGGAAACATATCCCGTATTTATGGATTGGAAGACAATATTGTTAAAATATAAGTATTACCCAAAGAAATACACAGATTCAATGCAATCCCTATCAAAATGTCAATATTTTTTTTACAGAAGTTGAAAAAGCCATTCTAAAATTCATATGGAGTCTCAAGAAACCCCAAATAGTCAAAAAAATCTTGAAAATGTTGGAGGTCTCTTGATTTAAAATGTACTGCAAATCTACAGTAATCAAAACAATGTGGTATTGGTGTAAAGAGAGGCATATAGAACAATGAAATAGAATAGCCCAGAAATAAACCCTTACATATGTGATCAAATGATTTTTGACAAGAGTGCCAAGACCTTTCAGTTGGGGAAAGGAGAGTTTTTTCAATAAATGTTGCTAGGAAAACTGGACATCCACATGTAAAAGGATGAAGTTGGACCCTCATTTAAGACTGTATTTTAAAAATTAACTAAAAATGGATCAAATACCTAAATGTGAGACCTAAAACAATAAATCTCTTCGAAGAAGATACAGGACAAATTTTCATGACATCTGATCTGGCAATCATTTCTTGGATATGATACCAAAGGCACAGGATAACAAAAGAAAAAATAGAGAAATCAAACTTAATGAAAATAAAAAATAAAATTATGCATTAAAAGACACTATTCATGGAGTAAAACCCCACAGGAGAAAATATTTGTCAGTTATCTAAGAAAGGATTAATATCCAAAATATGTAGAGAAATCCTAAAACTCAACAACAGCAACAACATAAAACAAACAGCCTGATTTAAAAATGAGCAAATAACTTGAATAGATATTTCTCCAAAGATCTACAAATGGACAATAGGCACATGAAAATGTTCAGCATCACTAATTGCTAGGAAATTGCAAACCCACACTATAGTGAGATACTACCTCATACCTATTAGGATGGCTTAAAAAAAAATAACATGTAAGGATGTGGACAAATTGGAACCCCTGTGCATTTTTGGTGAGACTATAAAACAGTACAGTCACTATGGAAACTGGTAGTTCTTCAAAAAAATTAAAAGAATTACTATATGATCTGGCAATTCCACTTCTGAGAATAAATCCAAAAGAATTTATAGCAGTTCTCTAAGAGATATTTGTATACTCGTGTTCATAGCAGCATTATTTACAAAAGGTAAAACATGGAAGCAACACATGTGGTCCTCACTGGAGGAATGGATAAACCAAATGTGATATGTACGTACAATGGAATATTATTAAATTTTGAAAAGGAAGGAAATTCTTACATATGCTCCAACATGGATTAACTTTGAGGACATTATGCTAAGTGATATAAGCCATTCACAAAAAGACAAATAGTTTGTGATTCCACATATATAAGATATCTAGTGTAGGAAAATATGTAGGGACAGAAAGTATTATTCTCATGGTTGCCAGGGGGAGGGGAGAATGGGGAGTTACTGTTTAGTGGATATAGAGATTTAATTTTAGAAGATAAAAAGTTATGGAGATGGATGGTGGTGATATATATTTAATAGCTCTGGGCTATACACATAAAAATGATTAGAATGCTAAATTTTATGTAATGTGTATTTTGCCACAATTTAAAAAAGACATAAAGAACATTCTGCCTTTACTTTTGAAAACTTAGGTTAAATGGACAATTTCTTAGAAATATAAAAATAGGGAAAATCTAAAGAAATGGAAGGGGAACCTATAGAGTAAAAGAGACTTAAGAGATATCACCTAATCACCATGTGTAGACCTTTTTTGGGTCCTGATACAAACAAACTGTAAAGAAAATGCTGTGGAGAGACATGAGGTTGAATAAAAGGAAAGGCATATCATATTCTTAGACAGGAATGCTCAGCATTATAAAGATGTCATTTTACCTAAATTTATCTGTAAGTTTAATGTGATCTCTATAAATCTGCCAACATTATTATTATTATTACTTTAAATTACAGAGTTATTACAGAAAATGTCACTGAGGTAGTCCACCAGAAGTATTTTCCACCAGAAGTCACCATATAATGGTGCATTCTTGGGTTTCAAGTTCATATCTCTTAATTTTTTTCATAATGCTTTGCTTGTTGCACCTTGGTTATCTGATAGATGAGCTAAACATGTTCTCATTTTCTTTGTTTTGCTTTTTCTAGTAACTATGACTGAAGTTTTACCTAAGGAAAAGAAACAGAAAGATGAGAAGACCTTAATTCTTGGTCAAGCTGTGGTGGACCTTCTTCCTTTATTGGAAGGTCAGATGTGTGATTTGTGCAAAAGCAGATATAACAAAGCTCATAAAATTTAACTTCAGCAAAATGAAAAAAATCAGCCTCATTGAACTTCAGAGATTTGATGAAAAGATTAGCACATTTATCTTTGCCTAACCCTTTCTTTTTTTGACTTGACTTGGCCTTCTTTTTGCAGGAGAGATTTCATTTGAAACGATGGTGCCACTGCACCCTGTACCAGGTTCACCGTTAGAGCCTCTTCGATCAGGTGTTAAGGTAAACAGGATTTTAACTCACAACATTGCTTTTCATTCTAACAAGTCTGTCTGGTGTCAAAATTCAATTCTATTGAGTCCAATTTATCAGTCACTTTCTTTTTACAGGTACACATATTGCTAGGTTCTGGGAAACAAATATAAATAAGGCAGAGTCTTACCTTAAGAGTCCATAATCTATATATTATGGATTTTAACCCAGTGTGATTAAATGATGGGCAGGGCACATGGGCATGGAGTAGACATTGGTTACTTTGCTCAGGGGTAGAAGTAGGGAAGGCTTAAAACCATAGAAATGCCTCTTGAACTATGTCCCGATGGATTAAATTAAATAGTATATGAATGCACCTAACACACTTTCTGGCATGGTAGCCTGCCTCTGGTTATTGGAGGAGAGGACGCATAAATTGGTAGACTGTGTCACTGGTTTGTCACTGGACTGTTTCCCATTCCTCTTGGGGATCATTAGCTTCTTGGGACATTGATTCCCACTCTGGTGCAAGTGCACTCAATCTCAGCAGGTACCACAGCCACCTTCTGTTTTGCACAAGTAAAGGAAAGAGGGGGGACCAACTGACTCAACTGAATGCAGTTTCCTAATTAATCATCACTGTAGGCCCCTTTCTGATTTTTGTTGATTTTGACCTTGGAGCTACCACAATCCACTCCTGCGTCTGCTGTGGTCCTCTTTTCTTATTTTAGGATGTGGTTGGTTTCTTCTAGCTTAGTTCTTTTGTAGATCTAATTTTTTTTCTATCTTTCGAGGGTTCCTGAAAATGTATAGTTTACTGATGGCATTTCTTGTTTTCCAGGATTATTATAGCATTATCCTTTAATTGGACATAAAGATATCATTTACTATCTTTTTGTCATTTCATGTGATTTGTCCTGGAAAGAGGTATATATTTGAGCTCAGCCTGCCTTCCTTGTTTCAGTCTCACAGCTTATGTACTGTTGATTTTCCTTAGATGTTATAGAAGAAAAGTCAGTCAAATAGATTGTCAGTCCTCATGACCTTTGCTCATAATATTCTTGTATTTACTTGTTTCACATACTCAAGGAAAAATATAAGACAGTTAATTTCCATTTGTTTGAGAGTTCTCACTAATTTTATATTTAAGCATCAACAATGGTCATTCTCAAGACTCAGACTAAAATGATATAAACTGTACTTGGAAAGGAGGTTCCAGTTCATCGTCCAGTATTCCCTGTCTCACTATGAGTTAGAAATCTTAGGGACATTTATTTACCTTCTCAGAGACATATTGACCAGAGGAGTCACATTCTTCATTTCCTCTTTCTTAAAAGCTTTCTTCCCTTTGCTGTTCCGATTTTCTACTTATTGACTGTACCTTCTCAATGTCCTGCACCAAATATCTCCTCTGCCTGTCCCTTAAGTGTGAAAGTTCTATTCTTGACCACCTTCTTTTCTTAGTCTGTGTTCACATTCCTGGTTGGATGAGAGGGAGGTTGGTCATCCATGAATTTAACAGTCACCGCTATTGAAGACTTCTAATTTAACAGCTCCAACCCAGATACCTTTCCTTAATTTCAGAATGTCAGCCTTTACAACCACCTACTGGATTTCTCTGTAATGATAGCCCATAGGTGCCTAAAATTCAACATTCCAAAACTAAACCCAGTATCCTCCCTCAAACTTACTCTTCCTTTTAATTTTAGTTATTTTGACTAGCAGCATCACCCATTTGTGAAATCATAGCAAATGCATAGAATCTACATTACATCTGTGACTCTTCTGCTCAGAACCTAACTACAATCAATTCCAAAATCTGCCTTTCATCAAATTTAGCCTTTTCTACCTCATAAGTGCCTTTGAATGCTCTCTTCGTAGTTTCATTTCTGTGCTTTATTGCCTTATAATTTTCTCACCTGGAACATTACAAGTAGACTTGTAATTACCTTACCTCCATCCAGTTCATCCTTCTCACTGCTTGCAGAGTGACTTAAAAGTAAATATGATCACATCTCTTCCCTTGCTAGCATCTATGTGGTTCATATATTCACCTACTGCTTACATGCTAAGGTTCAAATTTCCTAGCAGGCATGCAACAACCTTTATGATAGGAGCCTGTCACTAGTTCAGTCTCATCTCTCAGCATTTTCCTCCTTTGCTTTATGTTCTTAAAATTCTGAACTATTTACTTACACCTGAACTGAATACACCATACTGTTTCAATACCCTTTTACATAAAACTCTTCCTTTTGTCCAAAATTATTTTCTCTTTCCTTCCGATGCTTATTTAGATTTTAAACTTCTATTCATCTCGTAAAGTTAATTCAGATGTCACTCTCTCTTACTCCTCTCCACCCCAATAATTAATTATCCACTTCTTCCTTGGTGTTCCTTGACTAGGGCATTTTGTACAGGTCTCATTTATAACATTTGTCATAAGTCATGGGATTATAACATGAATTCCATGCTGAAAGGGGCCAAGTCTTCTTCATCTATATATTCTTAGTGCTATAGTAAAGTGCCTGGCATATAATCACACATTTTAAACCTACTTTTTATTGTATCCTCTATAAAAATATCAGGTATATATACATATATGTCTATATAGATAAGTATATAGATATGTATTTGAAAAAATATTTCTTATTAAAAAGCACTACATTTGCCAAATCAGAATTTCCATTGGAGAAATAACTTGGGAATTTTCCATTAGTAGGATACTTAATTCTTTAACAACAATATTAATTATTCTTATTAATGCTGATTCTTTGTTGTTGTTGTTTATTGGGGTAACATTGGTTAATGCAATTATATAATTTTCAGGTGTACATTATAATTTGACATCTATATATTCTATTGTGTGTTTACCACCCAAAGTCGTTTCCTTCAGCTACCATATATTTGATCCTCTTCTCCCTCCCCCACCCCCTTTATTTGACCCCCTTAATATTGATTCTTAGGAAAAAGAATGAAATGAACAAATTATTGTTTCTTCTGTAATAATATTAAAAAAAAAAACCACTAGCTGCCTTGACTGCCTTACTTGGATACATTACTACATCAAATCCTTGTCAGCCCTTCTAAAAAATTCATTCCTGGAGCTTACTCATGCTGCCAAAACTTTCCATATTTGAAAAATAGAAATATATTAAATAATCTGATTTTCAAATATTTCATAAAAACCTATATATTTTAAAAAAGCGCTATATTTAAATTACAAAATAATTATAAAATATAGACTAGCGAAAAAGCACCCCAATCTCACTCATGTGCAACCACTATTAACATTTCAGTACAGAACCTTCCAATTCCTCTTCTATATGTATTTATATACATACTTGACCTCAGTGTGGTATAGGGGAAGGGCTCTAGCTTAGGGATAGGTTGGTTCTCTTTTTGGCTCTATCTTTAACTCATGGGACCTAGAGAAAGTTATTTCAATACTTTGTATAGAAATAAATGACCTTTCTACCTTGAACAGTGATATGATATTCAGATGAAATTCAAATGATATTTAAATGAAAAAAAAAAAGAGGCCTCTGGCATTGTCAAAATGCTGCATAATTTTATTCTTTTCCAGCAGTGCAGTCTTGAAGTTAAAGTATCTGTGGCAGAGCCCTTATTGACCACAGCCCAGATCTTAGGAGGCAATTTACTGAAGGTCACATTGGAGGCTGCCTACTCTGTGCCTGAATCTTTCATGCCAGTAGGGCCCCTGCAGAACTACATGGTTGGTCTGCAAGTTCCATCAATTGGAGAGGTAAAGCCCTACAGCCAGATATTTATATAGATTTAAACACTCATATGGACGTCTCTTCTTCCTTTGCTAAAATTTCATTCAAAGCAAACTCTGTTAATGGCTCAGATTTATTTTAGTTTTCAAAAAATAAAGTTTACTTCTGTTTTATAAATAGATGTTATATTTATAGTTTATGTATTATAGATTACATAAAATTTATATCAGTGAATATATATTTATGGTGGAAAATATGTAAAACATTTTTAAATGAACAATTTTGGATATATTTCTACAGAGATTATGCCTGTTTTATGCATTTTGTATAATGCACTTTATTATACAGAACTTTCTCTTAATTCCAGATTATTTCCCTTATCCAAATTTCTATAGAATGATTGTGTATTGGTTTTTTGAGGCTCTTGATAAAGATTTCCAAATTGCTTGCTAAAAGAGTGTAATTAGTTAATACTTCTACTTGTTTTGCCATTTTACATTTTCAGTGTAGAACCCTCCAATTTCTCTTCACATTCCCAGCATCAGTGTACAAGGTTTCTAATTTCTTCACATCCTTGTGAATACTTATTATTTTCTGTTTTTTGATAATAGTCATTCCAATAGGTGTGGAGTGGCATCTTCTTGTGATTTTGATTTTTCTCTGATGACTAATGTCATTTAGCATCTTTTCATGTGCTTATTGACCATTTGCATGTTTTCTTTGGAGAAATGTCTATCCAAGTCCTTTGCCCATTTTTGAATCAAGTGTTGTTGTTGATGAGTTTTAGGAATTCTCTATATTTTAGCTATTAATCCCTTATTGGATGTGTGATTTGCAAGTGTTTTCTCCCATTCTATGGATTGCCTTTTATTCTGTTGTTAGTATCTTTTGATGCACAGAAGTTTTTAATTTCTGATGCAGTCCAATTCGTCCATGTTTTCTTATTCATAAGCAAGAAATCATTGCTAAACCCATTGGCATGAGGCTTTTCCCCTATGTCTTTTTATATTTATAGTTTAGTTCTTAGGTTTAGGCCTTTGATCCATTTTGAGCTAATTTTTGTATACAGTGTTAGGTAAGGGTCTAACTACACTCTTTTGCATGTGGATAACTGGTTTTTCTAGCACTTTTTGTTAAGACTGTTCTGTTTCAATTGAATAGTGTTGGCACCTTTAATTTTGACAATTTTTGCTAATATTCTTGTTGTTTTATGGAGGAACAGATTTTCAGAAGTCCTTATTCTGCCATTCCAGAAATGCCCCTTCTTTACAAAAGTTTTAAAACTTAACACATTGGACTAGAATAGTTGAGTTATACTGTATGCCAATTTTAAATTTTACTAGAGACTACAAAATTGCTTTCTATTTTTGTACCAATTTACACTTCCATCGGCTATGTATAAAAATACCATTTCCTTCATAACATTGACAACACTTGATATTTTTAGACTCTTGCCAATCTGTGGTTTAAAATGTTATCTGATTGTTTTAATGTGCATTTCACTTATTTTTAATAACTAGTATGTTTTAATTTAAATGTTAGATTTTCTAATTTCTCTTTCTATAAATTTCCTATTTATATCTTTACTAATTTTTATCGCAAGTATATTTTAGATAAGTTATAGATATGAAAAGCCTGTATTTTTAGGCCTTTATCAAATTTAAGTTTGTTTTTTTTAAAGATAATTTTTAAAATGTTATATTATGATCCTCATGTACATATAAAATGACAAAAAGAGTCGAAGCCAGTTCATAGGAAAATCTAAAGAAATGATTCATCTGTAAGCAATCAGGGATGTCGAAATGAATTTGCTAATAATTCAAAACTTGTCATTTATGGCTATGCCACCCTGAACAAGCCCGATCCCATCTGATCTCAGAATCTAAGCAGAGTTGGGCCTGGTTAGTACTTGGATGGGAGACCACTTAGGAAGACCAGGTGCTTGCTGTAGGCATAAAAAATAAAAAATAAGGGATTGTAAGCTGACAAGGTCCTTGCAATCTGTGAGGTCAACCAAAGGTTGCCTCGCCTAAAAAAATCCAAACAAAAAAACAAAATAAAACAAAAAACTTGTCATCAGTCACAGGGCAATAATCAATTTATCTCTATTCGACAAAGTACATTTGCACATTTGTGGACAAGAATAATTTGCATTATTATCTATTTCCTATAAATTACAAAATTATAAAACAACAGAAAGACAATGAAGGGCACAGTCCCCTCTACAGAATCAGATAATTACAGAAGGATCTGTTAGATAATTCTCAGCATTCTCCTGAAAAGACACTTCAGTAATCTTTTTATCTATCTCAAATTCTTTTACAAAATTTCCTAAAATATGATATTTATTTCTGCAGAAAGATTATCCCATTTTATTCAAGAATGGAACTCTGAAGCTTGGAGGGGAAAGAGAACCTGTTCCCCGGCCCAAAAAATGGCCTATTGCTAACATTCTGGCTCCAGGAGCTAATAACATTCCTGATGCATTCATTGTTGGTGGGCCCTATGAGGAAGAAGAAGGAGAACTCAACCATCCTGAGGTAAGAGAGTTATGCCATTTTTTTGTGATAAACTCAGTGTGCTGACATATGATAAAATTTTCGTGAATCACTGTAATTTATATATATTATTACCTATTAAAATAAAATAATTAAATGTCAAAAGAAAAGTTACCTAATTCTGATTGAAAGGCTTCTTCACTTCTTAAGTCCAGCAAACGAAATAATTGATTTAATTCAAATTTACTGTTTATTTTATTTTAAATTTATTTATTTTTGAGTAGGTAATAATACAGTCACATGTCAAAATAAGAATTGAGAGATATTCAGTTAAAGTCTTCCTTCTACTTTATGTCTCTTCCTCCTGATTCCTTCCAACGTCATCACTCTAGTAGCCACCTTTGTTATCGTTTCTTGTAGTTTCAGTAAAATCATTTGTAAGATGGGGATGGTTAAATTATTTTCAGTATCTGATACTAAATATTTAAAATAGTAGAGATAAAGCTAAAATACTTGAAAAACTTGTGCAATTTCTTTTATCATCATTGTGCTTTGTGAAAATTGTTCTTAGATTTATATTTTCATTTAGATCAGCTATATTTTATTTTAGATATTTAGATTTTATGTTTATATTTTAGATATTTAGATATTTAGATTTTATGTTTAGATTTTAGATATTTAGATTTTATAAAATCTAAATAACTAAACATAAAATCTAAATATCTAAAATATAACTTTTTCAGCCCTGGTTGCTCATTAGAATCACCTGGAAGGCTTTTAAAAAACACTAACAATGGGCCAGACCCTAACCCAGATCAATTATTTAAGAATTTATTTTTAAAATAACACCAATACTCAGGTGTTAATTATTTTTTCAGAAGCTCCCAAATAATTCTAATATGCGTCTAGGGTTGAGAATAACTGATTGAGGTTATGTGAGTGAATATTTGGCAGTTAGTACTGGATCGATGTAAGGATAATATAAATAATTTATCTTACGTACTTTATTAATCGAAAAGTACCCTAAAATTTACGGTGGTGGTAGTATTTACAGTAGTAGTTATACTTATGGTAGTAATAGTAGAAGTAATAAAAGTATTGTGATTAAATTCATTAATCGAATGCCCCACAGATTGAGCAGAATGAAGCCAGGTCACACCAAGAGAACAAAAGTTTCTATCTTATTATTTTACAGGACAGGGAATTTAGGAACCAATCAGAGTGCATAAAGAAAAGGATTACTTGGGACTTGGAAAGTCGCTGCTACCTTGATCCTACTGCAGTGGTGAGGTAGGAAGACAAAAGGAATATATCTAAATAACAAAGACTGTAAGTGGGAAAAAATGTTACTTTTTAAAATTTTATCTATATTTGAGTTAAGGTGACCTGACAGTCTCTTTCACCACATTTGTTAAAAACAGAGGCTCCTAGTGATGGTGAATTAACCAAGGTGGGTTCTTATTTTTCTTTCATATAAAAGAAGTCCAGACCTGATATGTATGGCGGCTTCTCAGTGTTATGAGGTATCTGGGCTCAGTCTTGCTTTTTTGCTCTATCTTCTTTAACATGTGCCCTGTATCCAGAAGGTTGTCTCACAGTCCACAATGGCTGTTGGAGCTCCAGGCTGCACATTCACAGTCCTGGCAGAAAGTTGGAAAAGAGGAGTGTTATGGGTAAAAAAGGACACGTGCTGGTTGTCTTAGCCCCTCCTGTAGAACCTCCCTGGAATCTGACAACTGTTTATATCTCATTGGTCACCTCTAGAGGCAAAAGAAGCTAGGAAATAGTGTTTTTGTTGGACACATTGCCACCCAGATTAAATCAGGATTTAGATAGTAAAGAAGAACAGGACACTTGATATTGTGTGGATAACTACTAATCTCTGTCACAATGACCTGGTGATTTCGGAGAGATGAGAAATAGAGGCTTATCAATATAGGTATAATTTGAATGAACTTTTTTTTTTTTCAATTAACAGACTATTTTTTTTTTAGAATAGTTTAAGAATTTTCAAAAAATTGAGCAGGCATTTCAGAGAGTTCCTGTATATCTCTGGTCCCCTACTTGATCATGGTATATAATATAAATATACATCATTGGATTTGATTTACTGATTTTTTTAATAAAGGATACATTGTTACTATTACTTTGAATAAACAGTAATCGATTTGGTCAATTAAAAATAAGAAAAATTAAAAAATTTTTCACTTTATTTCGTTCTGATTCTCTTCCTTTCTTTATGTAGATTCAAGTTTCTGACCCATATAATTTTTCTTTTCTCTGAAGACTTTTAGTATTTCTTGTAGGGCTGGTCTACTGGCCACAAATTCCCTCCATTTTTGTTTGAGAAAATCTTTATTTTTCCTTCACTTTTGAAAAATAATTCCCCCAGATACAGGATTCTAGATTGGTGGTTTATTTCTTTCAAAACTTTAAATATTTCACTTAACTCTCTTCCTGCCTGCATGGTTTCTGATGAGAAGTCCAATGTAATTCATATTCTTGTTCCTTTGTAGGAAAGGTATTTTTGCCTCTGGCTTCTTTCAAGATTTTCATTTCCTCTTTGGTTTCCTGTAGTTTGAATATGATATACCTTGTTGTAGATTTTTTAGTATTTATCATCCTTGGCATTCTCCAAGCTTCCTGGATCTATGGTTTGGTATCTGCCATTAATTTCATAAAATTCTCAGCCATTATAACTTCAAATATTTCTTTTGCTCCTTTCTCACTTTTTTCTCTTTCCAGTATCCCTGTTATATCTTTTGTAATTGTCTCATAATTCTTGGATATTCTGTTATGATTTTCATATTTTCCCCCTTTCCATTTCAGTTTGGAAAGTTTTTGATGTATCTTCAAGCTCACTGATTCTTTTCTCAGCCATGTCTAATCTACTGATAAGCCCATCAGATGAATTCTTCATTTTTATTGCAGTGTTTTTGATGTCTAGCATTTTCTTTTGATGCCTTGAATTTCTGCCTCCTGCTTACATGACCCACCTGTTCTTTTTAAATTAACTTTATTGTGATGACATTGGTTAATTACCCATGCGTTCTTGCATATTGTCTGCTTTTTCCATTAGAGCCTTTAACATATTAATCATTGATATTTTAAATTCTCTTTCTGATTATTTCAAGATCTGTGTCATACCTAAGTCTAGTTCTTATGCTAGCTTTGTCTCTTCAGACAGTATATTTCTTGCCTGTAGCATTCCTTGTAATTTTTTATTTTATTTATTTTTTTGACACTTATGAATGTGAAAAATTATTTAATGACAGTACTCTTGCCCTTGTAATTTTTTATCAAAAGCTGGATATTATGTACTAGGTAATAAGAAACAAGGTAATTAGGTTTTTTAGTGTGAGGGTGTATATTTATCTGGCTAGGAGCTGGGCTGTGTTTAATGTTTGCAGTAGCTGTAGCTGTAGGTGCTAAAGCCTTTGATTTCCTTTTTTTTTTTTTGCTCCTCCCCTGTTCTCTTTGGGTTTGCCTAAGAACTGTTTCTTAAATAGGGTCTATGTTTCACAGTTTCTCAGTTATAATCCACTGTTATACTGGAACTCTATTTATGGCGAGGGAAAGTGTTCTTTAATCCTGTGATTAAATCTCAGTATTTTAATGGGTTTGAGTCCCTGGACTGTGACCTTCAGAAGTGTTTAATAACCATTTTTTCTTTCTGTCTTTATATGAGACAGGAAGGCCAGATGGGCTTGAGGTGTCTAATTGCCCTTCCCCTGGGCAAGATAATGCTCTGGTAGTTTCCCTTAGTAGGTCTTCATTATGGAGGACAATCTGGGCATATTTCAAAAATGGTTACTTTTCCCTTCTCTCTGCCTAAGAGGATTTTTATCCTGTCTTCACTATGAGTAAATTCTGGGGTTCCTTGATTTAAAACGCAAAAAAGCGTAGGGAACCCCCGAGACTGAGACCCTAGGAGTTTTTAACTCTTGGGCTTGTCCACACTCAGCCTCCAGCAATTAGTCAAAATTACCATTAAAGTGTTTCTACCTGTTTCAGACTCCAGGGGCTTCTGCTGCCTGTAAACTGATCTCAGTTGTGATGCTCTGTACTTAGCTGTCTCTCCAAATTTCAGTGTGGCGATTTGCCCTATGTACTTAATTCTTAGATTGATCAAAGAAAACTTGTTGATTTTCAGTTTGGTCAGCTTCTTTCTTGTTTTGAGGACAGTAGTGAGAACTTCTAAACTCTTAACATGTCAGTAAGCTGACACTGGAAGCCCTATTCTATTTTCACAGTAGTTATAAATGTATTTTATACTATTTTTGCATACTTGTCTGATTATTTCTTTAGAATAAATAACTAGAAGTGGAATTTCTGGGCCAAAGATTATGAACATTTTAAGGCATTTGATTCATATTGCAAAATTGCTCTAAAAATGTACAATTTACCTCTGCTAGAAGTACAGTAGAATTATTTTCATAATTTTATAGATTTGAAAAGGTATAAAAACCCACTTACCTTATAAAAAATTTATATATGTGTATCCCATTACTTTTTAAAAGAGATGACTACTTCTCTTTAACCTAAATTATGCTAAGTCCATTTCACATGTAATGCTAGTGGGCTGATTCTTGATATTCAGTTTTCAGAAGCGAATTGCTGATTGCCGACTCTGGCCTGTAGAAATCACAAGAGTTCCTCTGATTACTGCACCCAAAGGAAAAGCTACCAGATTTGATAAGGTAAATTTGTTTACTTAAAAATATTTATATAAGAAATGCTGGCTCAGACCCAACCTATTATTCTGCTTCTAATTCTAATACCAGTGGAGTATATGAACTGATGTGGCTGTTCCCTAGGGTGACCAACAGATTCTGATTTCCTGAATAGTTCTGAAAGTTTCATGTCCCAAGAAACTCCCCTGTCCCTGGCAAATTAGGACAACTGGTCACCCTAGCTCCCTATTGTCCACTAGAAGTTATTTAGCCTTTATTCGCAGACATCCTATTTCCCTTTAGCCCTTCATTACAGTTTTACCACAGATAAAACCATACAAGATAGACATTTTTGTAGGTCAAAAGTAGTTAAATATTGACAATATGGTTCAAACTACTACATTTTTCTGAATTTCTTTTAGACTTACCTACTTAAAATATTTTAGCCTGCTAATTAGAGTAATAAGGTTCATAGATGTACTACTATTCTGAAAAGATATAGCTTTGATGAGCCTAGAATATGTTACTCGTGCATGTGTGGTCTTTTACGCTTGTTCATAAACTCCCTGAGGGTAGGGCTCCTGTCTTTGACTGCTTTGTATCCTCCACAGTACCTAGCATGATTTATGACATATAGCAGATACTTAACAAGTACCTTAATTATTTTATTGATTTTTAAAATAGGCTTTTTGCAGAATGAAAATACTACTACTGTGTTCCCACCTCTCTCTTTGTAATATATGATATGTACTGACTTACCTTAGATTTATAAACAACATAATGTTATCATATGAACATAGGACTTTAATTACTAATTATTATTTTAATAGGCAAAATGAAAGAGATTACTTTTAACCTTGTGGGAATTAAATGTTTTCTTTTACTCTTTTCCTTATACAAGTTTCCTATGGTAAACCGTACAGCCATTAAAAATGATGTTAAGATATATTTATTGACATATTCTTCATCTTTGTAATGAGAGTTTAGATGAGATCAGGGATGGCAAATACCTGACAGCAGACTGTCATTCATCTTCCTTCATCAGTGGCAGGTAGTACTGATCAATTAGAGCACTCTTCTCTTCTGAACCCAGATAAAGATACAGAATCTTTTTCAACACAGTACTCTAAGACACCTCTACCAATTGATTAGAATGTAGGCATCAGTTAAAACCTATTTGTCAACATTGGTTCAGATGATTTGTAAAACCCCTTTCATTCATATGAATATGTGAACGAAAGCTAAAAGCCACAGCTTCTGATATCTTTTAAGGTTTTGTTGTTGTTGTTGTTGTTGTTTTTTATTCACAAAGTTTTTCTTTTTTCTAAGAAGCAACGTGGTGAAATTGACTTTTTGGTTAAATTTATATATTATCAATTAATTTGTGTATGTGTTGATCCAACTACTGCCTTTACTATTCACTAGCACTGTTTTTATGCATTATCTCAGTGACCACTGTATATTAAGCTTATTTTAGAGATAAAGAAATAAGCCCCCAAATGTCTATGTTAATGGCCCAAAGTCAACTAGTAAAATAGCATAACTAGTCCCTAAAGCCAGGTCTTTAAACTGCTGAGTCAGAGCTCCATACTTTATGCTGCATTGCTCTATACCACTAATATTTCTCTGGTTTTATTCCTTTAGGCGGATGATGAAAGTCAGCTTTCATTTCATGGTGTGGCTTATGTTAATATGGTCCCATTGCTGTATCCAGGTGTAAAGAGGATTCGGGGAGCTTTTCATGTTTATCCTTACCTAGACAGTACAGTCTTTGAAAAGGTAAGAAAAAATTGTATAGATCATTATCATCCTAATTTATCTTTTATATATGTGTTTACTTACATCTATAGCATATACATCTTTGCAATGGATATTTGGAACCAGTTGTCATACTGGGATGTTAAATATAGAGGCTTGCTGTCATTCTACCATTGAATCTCAAAAAATTAGGGCCAAAAACTGGAAACAATCCAAATCTCTATCAACAGGTAAACAGAGAAAGAAATTGTATGGTATATCTATACAATGGGATACTACTCAGCAAAAAAAAAGAAAGGAACTGTTGATACATGCAACATGGATGAGTCTCAAATGCATCATGCTAAATGAAAGAAGCCAGACAAAAAAGAGTCCATACTTTATGATTCTATTTACAATTCTAGAAAACTAACCTAAAGCCATAGAAAGCAGATCAGTGGTTGCTTGGGAACAGGAATAGAGGGAGGGATGGATTACAAAAGAATGTGAGGAAACTATGAGGGATGATAGAAATGTTGGTCATCTTGATTGTGGTGATGGTTTCACATGTGTATGTATATGCCAAAATTGATCAAATTGTATATTTTAAATATGTAATTTATTATAATTTTACCTCAGTAAAGTTGGATACAAAATCTTTAGGATAATGAAAGAAATCAATTATGTTAATTGTGCAAAAATGTAAATCCATGTGCTGATGAATAAACACATGGTTCTCTCAGTTTTCAGATGTTAAAAATGTTAAAATCATCCTTTTATCTGTCTAAATATAGAAAAAATATATATACATAAAGCAAAAGGTCAATTTAATCATGTTGCTTCTAGGAGAAAGTGAGGCTTTGTAAAATACAATAATAAAAACTTATTTAACATATGTATTCATATACTATTTCATATACTATTCCATCATTATTAGGACAGCTATTTTTCAATAATAGAGTCATGAAAGACCCATCATCTATTTCAAACCAACTGAGTAGCAAACTCTTTATAAGTATCCTTTGAACTGGAAATTACACTTACTGGGATTATTCTTAAATAATTTAATAGGATTGCAACCCCTATATTCATGAAAACTTTTGGAGATTTATAATAGCAAAACCAAAAAATAAGATTATGTGTCTAAAATAGAAAAAGGCTTATTAAATTATTGTAAATAAAAATGATGGAATATGCATCCATTTAAAAAACTCATTAATGTTGTGTAGATAGATAGTTAAATAGAAAAAAAGATAGTGAAAATATCCATTACACCCAATGTTTTCTCGTGACCTTTTCTGTTATCCTCCTCTTCTATCTCTGTTTACTCCTACCCTTTTTTGGGGGCAGGTGGCTGTTTTTTTTCACTCAGCGTAAATTATATTTAGATTCATCCATGTTGTTTAATTTAAACATTTTTGTAAGGTTGTTTCCCAGTATTTATCTATAGTTTGAATTTCCCCATGCAAAGTTTTAATTTTGAACTTTAAACTTGCCCTATTCTTCTAATCCTAATTGAGGGGTCAGTAGTAATTAGATAATATTTCTTATACAGAAATAAATCCTACCACTTAAAGTTATTTGAAATTATGTGTCAAGGATTGAAAGCTATTTGATAACATGTTATGAAATACCAAAATCAAGCCAGGTTGAAAAGTCTCCCCTTGGGAATTTAAACGATAAGGTAGGCAACTAACTTTCTACAATGGTTTTACCCATTCAATGGGTATGGCAATACAATGAAGTTTTTTACTTTCCTGAGCTCTCTCTGATTCTACAATGATGAATTTATCTAGAAGACTAAATGATATTAAATAATAATGTGGGTTTCTTTTATTTGTCTGTGATTCATTGCATCTTTTTGTTTTTTTGTTTTTTTCAGACCAAGTGTTTATTTAGTTTGTTCCGGGATACTGGCCATCATTTGATTCAAAATAACAAAATAGGAGGAATTAATTCTCCATTGTCCAAACCAGTTATTTCTAAGAACCTGAAAGAAGATAAAATAGTAAGAAACAGATAAAGGAAAGCCTATGCCTGGGGATGTGGTAGGTTGTTGAGAAAATGATGATTTTGCTGGTTTTGTTGCATTCTAGAGGCTTGCACTGATTTCTTATTTTGTGAATTGTCTCAATTTAGTTCGTATTTTGATGCAACGTAATGATCATTGTTCCTGCCATTATGAAGACTATGTAAGAATTCCATTTTTGAGGTGTGTTCATTTTCTTTCAGCAGGCGGCTAGTATAAAATCTCAAAGTTCAGATACTCCTTTGGAAATTGAACCCACTCTAAACCACAATCCAGAAGGACAGGTAACTATGCATAAATAGTTGGGAAATTAAGTTTAAATTCATCAGTCCTTTATTGAGCAAGGTAGTATGGTATAGTGAAAAATGCTCATTATTTGAGTTACCATCTCAGATTTCCAATTATTAATTTATAACCTTGGGCAAATTTCTTTGTTTTGTTGAGACTTTCTAAAATAAGTGGGTACCAGATTAACTTTGAGGTCCTTTCCAGCATTAAAATTATATGTCTTTTATTAATTCTACTATATTAAGCGCTATGAAGGATGCAAAGATGCATCATCTGCAACATTTATTCATCTGCTCTCAGGACACTCAAGTCTGGTGGTCAAAACAGACTGGTACATAACTAATAGTAATATAGAGTTTTGATGAATGTTATCCTAGTAGTACAAACAAAAGTGCTGTGTGGTCTCAGAGAAGACAGAGTAATAGCTACTAGGATAGGACAGTCTCAGAAGGCTTCGTGGAAGAGATGTCATTCAAGCTAAGTAGTGAAAGATGAAGAGAACCTTTTGCCAGATAAAAATGGAGGGAGAGGCATTTTAGGGCCAGGGAACAACTTGAGTCAAGGCACAAAAAAAGATAGCTGAATTCTGAGTACATCAATTACTTCAGTGTATGATATAGAGAAATAAAAAGAAAGGAGAGATTCTAGAATAAAATGAGAAAGAAAAGAGAGGCTGAGTTGAGTTATAGAATGATTTTGAGAGACTTGCTAAAAAGTTTGGGCTTCAATCTATAGGTGACAAGAGACAATAGAACCTCATCTTAGGGACTCCCATTAAAAGTTTTTAAGCTACCTAGAAATAAGACTTCATATATGTTTCAGGGTAGAACTCTTGCAAGGATGTGAAAAAGAGAAATTGAAATTGGGATAGGGGCTTTAGATATCAGTTTATAGACTTTTCTTATAGTACAGATGAGTGTCGATGACAGTTTGATTTAGGGAAGAGGTTGTAGTAAAGGAAGTCAGAAACCTGAAGAGGCAAAGTATGGAATTGGGAAGCTTTAGGGTTGTCAAGGAAGAAAAGTTAAAGATAACTCAAGTTTAGGGCTGTACTTTCTGGAAGGGTGATGAAATCATTAAGAGAAAAGTCAAAAGAGAAGTTAATACAGAGGGGAATGAGAAGTTCGATTTTAGAAACGTTATATATACAATGCTGGGTAGAAATGTCCATCAGGTTGCAGTTGGTAGATGGTGGTGAGGAGGCTGTGAGTGGGAATATCAGAAGGTTATGAAGAAAATATTTCTACAGAAC